GGCCTAGTTAGCTGTATATCCCCAGCCCTATCTACAATACTCACTTTCATATAAAAGTTATTTACCTCAGGGACAGGCATTGGTGGCACAGCAAATTACGCTGCTGTCTGGGATGTCCACATTCTATGCTGGAATGCTCCTTTGATGCTCCTTTGAGATCCAGCTCTCCACTTCAGATCAGCTCCCAGAAATGTGTCTGGGAAGGCAGCGAAGGATGGGCCCTGCACCCATGTGGGAGACCTGGATGGAGTCCCTGGTTTCTGGCTTTGGCCCTGCACAGCCCCAGCTACTGCAGTCATTTGGGGAGTAAACCTGCAGACAGGAAGGTCTTGTTCTCTCTCTCTCCCTCTCTTTCTGCCATTCTATCTTTTCAAATAAATAAGTAAATAAAACCTTGAAAAAAAGTTATCTACTGCAAACTTAGAACACAGATTTCAGATAAAGAAAACTCTATAAACACTTAGTTCTGAAATTCTTTTGTTCATGTGTCTTGAGCTCTCACTCAAAAACAGTAGAAAGATGTCTGTGTCTCTACTGACACATGAGTAAATGAGAAAGCATATTTATTTTCAGCTTTCAAAACTTGTGTTTGTCTTTATGGTTTAAATTATTAAATGTGATTTATTAATAAAAAAAAAAAAAGAAAGAAAGAAAAGGAAAGGAAAGGGGCCGGCACTGTGACGCAGTGGGTTAACGCCCTGGCCTGAAGCGCCGGCATCCCATATGGGCGCCGTTTCGAGACCCGGCTGTTCCACTTCAATCCAGCTCTCTGCTATGGCCTGGGAAAGCAGTAGAAGATGGCCCAAGTTCTTGGGCCCCTGCACCCACGTGGGAGACACAGAAGAAGCTCCTGGCTCCTGGCTTCGGATCGGCACAGCTCCAGCCAATGCAGCCAATTGGGGAGTGAACCAGTGGATCGAAGACCTGTCTCTCTCTGCCTCTCCTCTCTCTGTGTAACTCTGACTTTCAAATAAATAAATAAATCTTAAAAAAAAGAAAGAAAGAAAGAAAAGGAAACAAACACTAACCAGAAGAAAACTGAGAACAATATTAATAGATAAAATAGACTTTGAAGGGAAAAACAAAGCATTAGTAGAGATAAAGAAACGTCCTAATAATAAGTTAATTCAAAGGGACATATAATTCTAAATATGTACAACTAATAATCTTGCAAAAATACAATAAATATTGATAGACTTTCCAGAAAAATATAGGCAAATCCAGTCATAGAAGGATATTCTCAGTAACTAGTAGAAAAAGAAAAAATGAGGAGAGGTGACTCTCTCACTAGAATTCTCTGTATCTCAACTCTAATTCTCCTCTGTGTCTCACTGGTGCGCATTTAGGATAATTTTTTGAGACCTGTGACCCTGATTAGTCTCTCTTCAGAAGCATATAATCTGCTATTAAACTTACTCATCAAGGTTTGCTTTTAATATTTAATTACATTTTTTCCCAATTTTGAAATTCTATTTTCTTCTTGTTCAAACCTGCACTTGTCATCTGTTATGGTTCCTTACTTACTGCACACATTTCCGAACTTGTGTTTCATTCCCTTCAGCATGGTAAGCCAGGGCTTACCTGGCACAGCAGCTAAGATGCCGCTTGGGACATTCACGTCCCACTTCCCACAAGTGCCCCGTTCAAGTCCTGGCTCTGTCTCTGAGTCCAGCTTTCTACTAAGGCAGGAGGTCATGGGCCAAGTACTGGACACCTGCCACCCCCATGGGAGACCCAGATTGAGTTCCGGGCTCCTAGATGTGGCCGGACTAGACTCAGACGTTGTGGCTATTTGAGGGATGGACCGGTGGACAGAAGAGATCGCTCTCTCCCTGCTGTCCAAATAAATAAAAAATAACTTTTTAAAAAATTAAGAAAAAAATAAGTAAACGTTGTAAGCTCATTCTGAAGTCTCAACTGTGTAACTGAAGGCCTTGTGAGGTTTTCCTCCTTCTGATTTGTTTGTCTAGAGAAGTTCTGACTCACAAGTTCCCAAGTGGAATAAACAGTGATCTGAGATTATTATACCCAGATAAACTCCTGTGCTCATGACAAGGCAAAAGGAAAACATTTCCCTTCATAAAAGGTCTCAAGGACACCTTGAAAATACTCAATGAGAAAACAAGACCAACCAAGTTAGTCAAAGCAAACAATTTAGGAACATGGAACCAAGAACGTACCTGTGAAATACCAAAACCCAAGACCAAACAACTCGTGCATGCGTTATGATTCCAAAATCAACTACAAACGATGATATATTTATAATATAAATTTATAATGCGATGCAATTAGCAGATGGAGAGAGGAGGCTGAAGAAAATACAAGGCTGCTAGTTCTTTCCTATTTCATAACAGGAAGTCAATCACACAATTTAAAATTGTGACATGCAACTAACTGATTGTATAATATACATATATTATTATATATTATATTACAATATAATCTTCTTCATTATAGGCAAATGTTTTAGCAACTAATATAAGGAATATTTATTTGAATTTCAACAATTCCTTCAGTTTTGCTTTCTTTTCTTTGGGTAAATTCAAGTAAAATAAAATTCAGAACTGTTCATTGAAACAATGCATTGAACTTTTACCTACTTCCCCCACCCCACCTTGATCTCTGTCTGGTTCACCTTCAGCTGCCCGTGCCCAGGGCTGCCTGCCCATCTCCATCTCTGCCGAGCTGTCCATCTTTACTTGCCTGCATATTCCTGTCTCTGTCTGCCTATCTCCTATCTGCACCTGCCTACCTGTCCATCTATGTCTGCCTGCTTACTTCCATCTCTGCCAGCTGGCCTATCTGCGCCCATCTGTCATTCTATGCCTGGCTGCCAGTCTGTTTATGTCTATCAGCTCATCTGAAATCCTCCTGTCTGCCTGCCAGCCTGCTTACGTCGTCTCTTATCCATCTCCTCCCTGCGGGTCTCTCTTCTGTCTGGCCAGCAGCCACGTGTAAACATTTAGAAATATCAAGAATGGTGCCCTTCTGACGTTAACAGTTATCACCTAGATGGTAGTGTTTTGAGCAATTTGCTTTTGCTTTCTCCTTTCTAATTATATACAGAGATTGTGATCATATAACGAGCATACATTTAATAAATTTTTTCTTTAAAATAAAGGCAACAAATAGAACAACCTGATTAACAAACAACCTTACATCAGTGTTTCAAACTCTTCAGACCATAGCCTGAGTAAAACATGTTAAAGGATATCCACAGTATTTTAATAAATAAATCATGAGTTCATAAAGAAAGACTAATCCTTACATCAACTGCACTATAACATGGTTTAATCTGTTTTATTGCTTTATTATTCAAATATAATAATAATGAGTTTTGACTCATAAAGTTGATCGGATGATCTAGGAATGAGTCACAGCAGGTAGACTAAAGCATTCCACAAAGACAAATTTCCAGTGGAGGGAGCTGGTCATCCGAATGGCCCTACATAAAGCACTCTTACCACCTGGCCTTCCCGCTGTGGGCAGCAGCAGACAGAGGCTGCCCTGAGCCTTGCCAGCCCTGGTCTTCCTTTAGGCACTGTCTACTTCCACTACCTCCAACTTGCCCAATCTGCAGTCCAAGGTGACTTGCTCCACCTTGTCCTCGCCCCTGCCACGTGCCTCCCTGGCCTGCTTGCCCATAGGCCTTTGTTCCCACATCACGTACAGATACCTGTATGGCGCTCTGTAGCATATGTACACATTCTATCTCCCCACAGAGAACGCGCAGTTCTTTTTCTTTTTCCCCCAAAGAAACTTTTTATTTAAGGAGTAAAAATTTCATAAGTACAACTTTAGGAATACAGTGATTCTTCTCACCATACCTGCCCTCCCACCCCACCTCCTCCTCTCTCTCCCATTCCCAGTCCCATTCTCCATTAACATTCATTTTCAATTAACTTTATACACAAAAAACCAACTCCATATGAAGTAAAGATTTCAACAATTAATGTGCAGTTCATGAATGCTCACCTTATACTTTAATAGCCTGTAGGGTTAACAGTCCCTGAATATCTTAATATTGAAAAACAAAGTATGATGAAAGAAGTTACATGTTATCTTCCATAAAATAAATATTCATCATTGACCAAGAGAGGGCACTAAAATTCAGCTGTTCCCTATAGGTTAGTTCCTCCACTGCAGCACTACTGACAAGGTGAGCCAGAAAGTTCTTAGCCATGGTGCAGATTAAGCTGCGGGCCATTCCGTGTGCTGCAGGATGTTAGAGAAAAAAATCCCTGGCTGCTGCCCACCACAGGTCAGTAACATCCCCTCCCCGGCTGTGATGACCAAAACTGTGTCCAGACCTTGCTCAGTGTCCCCCGAGGGGCAGGGTCAGCCCCCACTATAACCCAGTGATGCCGTTTATGGCTATCAATCCTGGCCACCACGTCTGCTCTTGTCTAGCTCCCTGCCTGATCAAGCCTCTTGTTCACACCGCTGCTCTTCCCAGCCCCTTTCCACCTACTGTCTTCTCCACTGCAGGTCTATGATTTCAACGTCTCCACGCGAGATCCTTTTTCTCCCTTGATTCCCCTCTCACCTCCTTTTCTCTCTTACGTCATAAATACTTGCACTGTATGCGCACCACACACCTTTGCAGGAAACGAACACCTTGTGGAGGTCCTCAGCTTGTGAGACAGCCCCAAGGCCCTGGGAATGATGCTGCCTCTCTGCTAGGCGCAACTGTTGCTGAGTGGTCACAAACAGCTTTCTTCCCACCTACCTCTGGGTTGAGTTTGTTATGGAAACGTGAAAGTTCTGCCGGATCATTTTGTACAGAGTTTTCCAAAAACAAAATTAAAAAATCACACACACACACACACACACACACACAACCAGAATCACAACAATGCACAGGAGTAGAGGGATTATGATTTATTCACTTCCATAACTTAGCCCAACTCATCAACACGATTTCTTGGTGTGTATGAGTAACAGAATAAGAACAGAAATCTCTTCAGTTTCACGAACGTGTAACACACTCAAATACTAACCTGACGAAATACTTCATTCACAAAGTTGACATAGCCTCGCGTTGACAAGAGAATCCGCTGCACCATCTCATACACCAGGCGGTGCTCCTCCTCGACGCTACAAAGGCTGCAGTTGCTGAGTCTTCGGTCAGACAAGGTGCTGCTGTTCGAGTGGTTTCTGTCCTGCTCTGGGGGTCCGCCACCGTCTGCCTCTGCTGCCCTGTCCTGCACAGCACCACCACCGACGGTCTGGAAGACACCATCGCACTCCTCAGTACCCTGTTCTAAAGGACTCTGGGTGCTCAGGGTTAAGCTGGAAACCAGTCACTGCTTGAAGTGTAACAGGCTCCAGAACCTGTCCTTACCAATTTTCCAATTAACCAACAAAGTGCTTCCCAACTAACTTATTTAAATCTTAGTAACCTACAATGTTTAATTTGCATTTCTGAAACTGAAGAATAAATCAGCATATCAATGCACTTGTACTGCCCCCACACTAAAGCGCCACACTTCTGCATGTACTGTGTCATAGCAGATACCTGAAAACAGGGGCGATTTCTTTTTACAGCAACATCATTAATTCCTAAGACTAAACGGCATCTTGATGGTGGAGTGCCACGATCTTCAGAGGGTCTTTCAGGAGAAGAATTTTAAGTTTTATTCTCAGAATCTCAGATTAAACTTAGTTAAAATATTTACAAAATTGTAAATATTTGTAAGACTTTAGGAGTACAAAAAAAATGTTCACGCTATGACTAACAAAGTGCAACACTGATGTCTGCTCTCATTTCCCCATAGAATTAAAAATTTCCTCTAAACAGATATATAATTTTGCTTCAATTTTGTAACCTCCATTGTTACTTAAACATTAAAATATGCCACTAAAATGGCCTTAAAATTTTACCCATTGTATTTTTTACAAGAAGTGATAAGTCAGGAGCAGTACAGAGCATAATTTCAGTAACTACCAATGAGAGTGTGAAAATTAAAACATAAATCTAACAGTAATCTCTACGGAAAGTTAATGAAAAATCACATCTATAATAATTTTTCTCTTTCTGCCTTGGTTGCTAAAGCCTGTGTGGCTTATCAAAGTCCCTGTCACACTGTGAAATGTGCTACCTTATAGAAATTATTTTGTCTTTTTGATGAATTTACTATCTTCTTCAGGAAAGTAAAATTTTATTCATTTTATTCTTTTTTAATCTGTGGCTTCAGTAGAAGTGACTTAAGATGGGATGAGTATGGCACGGGAAGCCAGGCCCAAAGTCAGTATGAAAAGACCTGCCCTTACGTATCTCTACCTGTGAGACAAGTCGCTTCACTCACTCGGATTGCTATGGGAGTACAGAGAAGCCCAGTCTTCCAGCCGCCCCCACCAAAGTAACAGTCGTGTGAATGAAGTCATCTTGGACCCTCTGGACGACCAACCAACAGCTGAAGACTGCAGTCCAGTGAGTCCTTAAAGCCACATGAAGCACACACGAATTGCCCAACCAAATCCAGCGCCAATCCTGGACTCAAGAGTGAAATATGACAATATTACAAAAAGAGGGCGTGGGCACTGAGCCTGGTGGTTAGAGCGCCTGTGCCCCACATCAGAGTGCCTCGGGTCAGGACATGCTCTGGCTCCCGACTCCAGCTTCCCGCTAAGGCAGGCTCTGAGAGACAGCAGTTGATGGCTTAAGCAGTGGGGTTCCTGCCACCCAAGCAGGAGTCCTAGATCGAGTTCCCAGCTCCTGGTTTCAGTCTGAGCCCAGCCCTGGTCACTGCAGGCATTTGGGGGATGAACCAGGGATGGGAGCTCTTTGTAGGTCTGTTTCTCTCTGTCTCTCTCTTTCTCAACCTATGCCTCTCAAGTTTAAAAAAAAAAATTAAGAAAGGCTGCTGCTTTAAGTCCCTAAGTTTTGAGGTGGCTTGTAACACAGCAAATAGATAACTTAAATAATAAAAATGAAAATTTGTGTTTAAAGGCACTAAGTCATATAAAAATAAGATCTGGGCTGGCGCTGTGACGTAACAGGTTAAGCCTCCACCTGCAAGGACAGCATATCGGTGCAGGTTCAAGACCCAGATGCTCCACTTCTGATCCTGCTCCCTGCTGATGCACCTGGGAAAGCAGTGGAAGATGGTCCAAGTGCTTGGGCCCCTACACCCATGTGGGAGACCCAAAAGAAGCTTCAGGCTCCTGGTTTCGTCCTGGCCCAGCCCCAGATGTTGTAGCCAGTTGGGGGGCAAATCAGTGAATGGAAGATCAATCCCTCCCTCCCTCCCTCTCTGTCTCTCCCTCTCTCTCCTTCCCTCCCTCTCCTCCTCTCTGCCTTTCAAATAAATCTTTAAAAAAAGATAAATAAGCTCTGTCAAATAGAGCATGATGGTACCATAAATGGATTTCACTTCATGCCATAAAATGAAAATGTTTTAACAAGATGATGCTTGATTAAACACTCTTCCTATAAAAGGCTATTTCCCAAAAACATCTGTACATTTTGAAAAACATTTATAATTATAAGTGGTAAGACTTAGAATAAATGAAACTAACAAGTCTATACATAGCAAGAACACAAATAAGCACCCCAGAGAGAGCTCCATTTCCTACCCACTAGAATCAAGCTGGAATTTCCAACTATTGTTATTAGTGAACTCAAGTGGTCAATGCTAAGATGACATTTATTTTTCTCTGGCATGTGAAGAAGACTGAATCATTGACACATCTGCTTGGAACAGGCGAGCCCTGCCAGAGCCCAGGAAACTGCCCTGTACTTCTTCCCTGAACCTCCCTACTCCCTAAGGTCCTCTCCGCCTCACAGGACACACTTCTACTGTTCTTTCTGCAGTAAGGGTCAATAAGGACACCCACAAAGCAGGTGTTAAAGAAGAGGTGATTCCTGGTGCCACTCAATTCTGTCATGAGTTCCTGGCATGGTTAAGGGCAGCCTGTGTTTGTCTTTGTAGTTTAAGAATGAGAGGGGATGAGAGTAGTAGTCAAAAAATAAATGAGTGTACGACACAAACACTGCAGGGTTATCAGCTTGTGTGATTCACTTTTTCTATCTCTTTCATTTTAATTGTTATTTTTTAAATGACATTGTTATATCAGTTTTGGTCCATTAAGTTTGTGGTAACTTGTTTCAGTTGCAAGAGAAAACTAAAGCAACAGGGTCGGTGTTGCGGTGCAGCCGGTGAGGCCGCCGCCGCCCACCACTCCTTCATCCCATACTGAAGCATCAGCTCTCGTCCCAGCTGCTCTGCTCCCGATCCAGCTCCCTGCTGATGCACCTGGGACAGCATCGAACACAGCCAAGTCTCCCATGTGGGAGATCCAGATGGCTCCTGGCTTCAGCCTGGCCAAGCCCAGCCCTAGCCAGGGCAGCAATTTGTATAGTGAACCAGCAGATAGGAGGTTTCTTTCTGTCTCTCTTGCTCTCTGTTATTCTTTCAAATACATAAAAATAAATGCCAAAAAAAAAAAAACAACAACAACTTACTATGACGCACTAGCAGCCTCTACCGTGGCAGTGGCCATCTCTAGGCACAGCCATCTGCACAGCAGGCATGGCAGGCTATCTGGCTGGCACCCACTCCCCTCCCTAACAGAACCTCTGGGCTGTTCATCCTCCATCCACACAGCCCAGGTGACAAACAGGAAGCTGGCCTCACCACAGGACCAGGGGAGAGTCTGTTTAATGGAAGCCAACCATGGAACCTCCTGGGCCACTCACACATCCAGCCTTAAGCCATCAGAGCTTTGCTATGGTTCCAGGGGTGGGATGGTAACCTAAGTTGTTGCACTCAGACAAAAGAGAACGGTTTTAGATTCCTGGACTGCTTCTGAAATAAACAAGGAAAGCAGTGCCCCAGCTGCTGGCAGGCAACTTGCAATCAAGGTGGAAGCTGCAACAAAACAGTGAGAGAGGGGGGCCGGGTAAAGCCGCCACCTGTGACCCCGGCATCCCACATGGGTGCTGGTTGGTGTCCCAGTTGCTCCACTTCCAGTCCAGCTCCCTAATGGCCTGGGAAAAGCAGAGGAAGGTGGTTCAAGTGTTTGGGTCCCTGCCACCTAAGTGGGAGATCCAGAGGAAGTCAACAGCTCTGGCTGGTGTGGCCATCTAGGGAGTGAACCACTGGACGGAAGATTCTCTCTCTCTCACTGTCTCTCCCTCTCTTTCTGTAAAGGAAGTCTTTTATGTTCTCACTGTAATTGCATCTCCCATGGACGTCTGGAAAACCTCCCTCCCTCTAGCCCCGTAGTGAGTTCTCTTCTGTGCGCCACACGCTCTAGTCTCTGTATGGCTTTTCTCCTTCACGATCCTATGACTAAAGTGCCCGGGCCACCTTTCTTCCTCCTCAGTGTCTGCCAGCTCAGGCCTACATCATGCTTCTGTGACTCCTGTGACTCCAGGCACCGGCAAACCTGCAGTTAGTGCACCTCACTTCTGTCTGTTCTTGGGCACCATGCGCACAAAACCACACAAGGCCACAAGCTTCCGTCCCCCAGTGAAGTGGCTGCTCTCTGACCTCCACCTGTGGTGGTGTTCTACCAAGTGCAGAGATGCCGAGCCACTCGGCCTGGTGGGAAGGCCCCCATTTTGTGTCTGACCACAGCCAAGAGACAGAGCACAGTAGGCCCCACACAAGGGGCTTCACAGAGAGGCAGCCTGCTCTTCTAGGGACCTCATTTTTGAGCTCCACAAGCGGCCGGAATTCTGAACCACTGATCCACTTCCTCGCTAAGATGCCAGAAGGCATGGCAGCCCTGTGGGTCCTGGCCAGGGGCCACCTGCATGCTTCCCAAGGGCCTGCCTGTGCTCATGCTCAGGAGTCACTGGCAACGGAGTGAGAGTGTGAAGGACGGGACCAGGAGTGGCACACAGCAGCCACTTTCTCAGAACACCACCGCACCGCCCCCTCCCCCAACACTGCCTCACAGTAGCACCTCCTGCTGCAATCCCTCTGCAACCTCAGTGTTATGGACAGGGTGGGCTAACACTTGTAAGATGTATTCCCAGGGCTGGCGTTGTGACGCAGGGGGTCAAGTCTCTGCCTGAGATGTCAGCATCCCATACAGGAGCAGGTTCCTGTCCCAGCTGTTCCACTTCTGATCCAGCTCCCTGCTAATGCACCTGGGAAAGCAGTGGAAGATGGCCCAAGTTCTCGGGCCCCTACACACACATGAGAGAACCAGATGAAGCTCCTGGCTCCTGGCTTTGGTCTGGCCCAGTCCCTGCTGTTGCAGCCATTTGGAAGAGTGAATCAGTGGATGGAAGAGCTCTCTGTCTCTCCCTCTCTCTCCATAACTCTGCCTTCCAAATAAATAAAATAAATCTTTAAAATAACAAATGATTCCCTATAAACGGATTCCCTATAACCAACAACCTGTAAGAACTCACTCACTTTGTATTTTTTACATAAGCACTAAGAGATGAAAAATGATGAATCACTTACCTGGATGATTTTAGGCAACACATCAACTCCATTTTTAGTGTTTTGTGTTGTAGTTAGATACTTTTTCTCCAAAAAGAAAGTTACAATCCACTTAATAAAAACAACACGAGCTGCCATGTAGGGGATTTTTGTACTGTAAATGTTTTCATTGTCTCTAGTTGTAGTAATGTACGCTGGCTTGGATCTCAAATGGGGGATGTCTGGCAGAAAAAGAACACAGGACTAGATTAGTGCGACTTCAGACTGTGTGGCCCACACAAGTGTTTCAGCTTTCAATGAAATGAACAGACATCTGGTTGTTTAACAGTGACTAAGAATGAAGAACCAGGAAGGACTATAAATGGTATCTCCTGGAAGGTGTGCTTCCATTTCTGCCCTGCATGTGACCAAGAAAGGCTGGTTCTCAGCAGCCCTGTCTTCATCCAGCGATGGTGAACAGCTATGGGAAAACTAAACCAGCAGCTCCTACTGATGCTGAGAGATTACATGAGACTAAGAGAGATTCTGAGAACATGAGACTTTTCATACATGATACACCCAATCTAATTTCTGGCTGGAACAAATGTCAAAGCATATATGAACTTTTAAAAAAATCATTTTAGGGGACTGGTGTTGTGGTACAGTGGGTTAAGCTGTCACCTATAGTGCTGGTGTCCCATATGGGCACCAGTTGGAGTCTTAGCTACTCCAATTCCGATCCAGCTCCCTGCTAATGTTCCTGGGAAAGCAGCTCTTGGGCCCCCACACCCACGTGGGAGAGCTAGAATGGCTCCTGGCTTCGGTCTGGTGAAGCCCTGGCCATTTTAGCCATTTGGGAAGGGAACCAGAGGATGAAAAAGTCTCTCTCTCTGTCTCTCTTCTTTCTGTAATTCTGCCTTTCAAATAAATAAATCTTTAAAAAAATATTTTAGGCGTTTTAACATCTAACTGCACTAGTTAAATCCACTGAACCTTAATTTTACATCTTTTTCCCTTTAGATGAACCCAAGGAAACAGAATCAACATAACGTACTTTATGTCTCAAAGAATTCAGAAAGTCGCATTTCATCTTTGGTATATCAGACACTACGTTTTCCAAAAAACGAATTAAGAAGTCGATTTTCCATTATTTAAATTCCATAGCAATTCAAAAATTACACGGTTCTGGACTTGAGAGAATACTTGCCACAGACCACTCCCTGTCTTAACGAGTTTTTGTACATGTTTAGGTAAATGGGGCAAAAAAGTTCTACACAGAACCTTTTAATCTAGAACTACTAACAACACACTGTTGGATTTGTTTGTGGTTTGTTTGTTTACAATGAATATGAACTACATATAAAATCAGAAACCAGTTTGGAAAAAATATCCACACATACACAGCTAACAAAATACACATCCTAGTCCCACTAACAGTCAGAACTCCAGGACTTCTACACGTCTTGCAACTCCCCTAGCTTCAGCAGCTCTCTCCTTGCCCACCGGCAGGTGTGTTTGTGTCAAGGGCTATGTGTACACACATAAACACATGTAGCACACACAGACAACTGAATGCCAGCCCTGTTCCCCAAGTGGACAAATATCCCTGATGATCTCCACACGCTCAAAATGGTTCTTGTTATTTATTCGAACACCACCTGTTTTAATAATCGGGAACAGACACTTTGCACCCCACCTTCGCTAAGCTAGAGGCTACTTCTGCTCCATGAGCCCTCCTTTCCTACACAAGGAAAACCTTAAGAGATAAACGAGAAATTCCTGCATGTTTCCTCCCCTCTGGGCCTGCTGTGCACACACACAAACATCTGTCCTTTATATGCAGCTAGCAGTAGTAGCTGCTGATCACAAAGCCAGCATGAAAGAGAGGGCACAGGGTGGGCAGCTGTGCCCTCCCTCACTAGGCAAGGCCAGGCGTCAGCACATCCTACTCCTCCTAACAGCAGACTTCGGGAAGTGTGGGATTTTTCACACTAGAAAATGGTAAATATAATTACACCAAAAATAATACACCTCAAGTTACTTCTGAGCATAGAAGCCACGATTTCCCTTTACTGCTCTCGTTCAGGTACACATTGGTGCAAACAGTAAAGATCACTTATTAGGAAACTCTAACACATCTTACAATAAAGTTACCATTCAACACAAGAATATAATGGCTGTTCTGCTTTAAAACAATGAAAGATCACATTGAGGGAAAGACTGCACCGGTTTCTCAGTGGATGTCCTCTAGCCAAAAGTACTTACCAAGTACAGGTTTGTAGATGTTTGTTAGCTTAGTAAATGATGGAAACAAATGAGGAAGATAATACTTTCGAAACAATGTAAAAAGAAATTTAAAACCAGTATCTTGATTCTCTTTATTCTTCCACTCCAAGCTTGCAGCCTTTGGATAATATGAGGAAAAGAACATAGGAATATTTATATTTCAAATTCACATGTACTGAACTGAACTGTTATTAAAATTCCTACTGTAAATGAAGAAAAATTGACAACCATATAATGAAATCATCTTAAAAGAGGACAGGAATCAATACTTCAAAACTAAACAATAACTATGGGGCCAGTGCTGTGGTGCACTGGATAAAGCCACCGCGGGTTCTAGTCCTGGCTGCTCCACTTCCGATCCAGCTTTCTGCTATGGCCTGGGAAAGCAGTGGAGGATGGCCCAAGTCCCTGGGCCCCTGCACCCATATGGGAGACCCAGAAAAAGCTCCTGGCTCCTGGCCTCAGATCAGAGCAACTCCAGCCATTGCAATCATCTGGGGAGTGAACCAGCAGATGGAAGACCTCTCTCTCTCTCTGCATTTCTCTCTCTCTGTAACTCTGCCTTTCAAATAAATAAATAAATCTTAAAAAAAAAGTAACTATATTATCAGCAATATTTTTTCTGAATATTAAAAAATAAATCACCCAATAGTGTCATCTTTTCAAACTTATCTACCACATCATGCCCATAGTTTTTCCCACATATTCTTTCATTGTGCCTTTAAAAAATTTAGTTGGAGTTGCCCCTCTTCCAGGCCAGCTCTCTGCTGTGGCCAGGGAGTGCAGTGGAGGATGGCCCAAGTACTTGGGCCCTGCACCCCATGGGAGACCAGGATAAGTACCTGGCTCCTGCCATCGGATCAGCGCGGTGCGCTGGCCTCAGCATGCCGACCGCGGCGGCCATTGGAGGGTGAACCAACGGCAAAGGAAGACCTTTCTCTCTGTCTCTCTCTCTCTCACTGTCCACTGCCTGTCAAAAAAAAAAAAAATTTAGTTGGAAATAATCAGGTACTTTTTTGTTCTAAACTCAAAAGAAAAAAAAAAAAAAAAACAGGAGTTAAAACACTAGTCCCTCTCATGGATTTCATCCACTGTTACCCACAAGCAAAATCAGCATTGAAAGACAGAAGCTATGGAATCTCGCAAAGTTCATTCTCCCTATTAAAACAATTCACAGGGCTGGCCTTGTGCCACAGTGGGTGACACTACCGTCTATGATGCATGCAAGCTATCTGGGCACCAGCTCCAGTCCCAGCTGCTCCACTTCCAATATAGCTCCCTGCTAATGCACCTGGAAAGCAGCAGAAGTTGGCCCCACACATGTGGGAGACCCAGATGGAGTTCCAAGGCTCCTGGCTTTGGCCTGGCCCTGTTCCAGATATTGCAGCCATTTGGGGAGTGAGCCAGCAGATGGAAGATTCATTCTCTCTCTCTCTCTCTTTCTCTCTCTGACTCTCCCTCAATCTGTATATTTGTCTTTCAAATAAATAAATCTTTAAAAAATATGTAACAGTTCCCAGGCTAAGATAAAACAAGCCTCTTGGCCCAGCTATGGGTTAAGTTAAAAGCTTTCAAAGTACTGAGATAATATTCTCCCCCTCAAAACCACGATGCAGTGCATGCACAGCGTGGACCCTCTCAAAACCCCCACTCGGTGTATGCACGATGTGAGCAGTCCTAACAGTTTGGCAGCTGGTCACCCAGGAACTGAAGGCTACCTGGCTACCACAGTGCTATCATCCCATGCCACATGGGGCGTAAGATGCAGAGCGGACCTTAGAGAAGACCTGTCAATGGCCCCCAATACAGAGTAAGCCAAAGCAGAGCTTCCCATCTCCTTTCATAGCATGCTCACAGCCCCAGAGGCAAAAAGATGGGTCCTCTGGCTGCCCCAGGGGCTGAGGGGTTGGCATCCTTAACCTGGAGGAAGCGCTGCTCTCAGAACTCACCCCACAGACTGGAGGGAGGCACATCCAAACCAAATTCTGCACATAATTACAGAGGGCAGAGCCTACATACAAACCTCTGCCCTGTGTCCATGTCATCCCCTTGTAATGGGGCCCCTACAGACTACATGACGTACCCAAGATAACACAACTCACTCATGACACACCTAGAAGGAGAACCCAGGGCCCCAACACACCCATGTTCTGCATACTCTATTCTCCCTGGACAAACAGAATGCCCAACCCCTTCTGAACAGGCGGCACCTGAAATTTACGTAGAATGGGCTCAAATTTGGAGCTTCCAGAGACGACAGGATGTCCCAGTCATGCTCTTGGGACCCTTGTACTTCTTGGGTCCTTGTACTTCGGGGCTGGCTGAAGGAAACGGGGGAGGAAAGGGGCCAGGACTGTCCAGCAAAGTTGAGTCAGAGAAGGGCAGCCACATACGCAAGCTCAAAGAACAGCAGAGAAAAGCACAGAGCCCTAAGGAAAACTGTGAAGAAGAGAGACATGGAGGGAAAGGGCCAGAAGAAAACATCACAAGTGGAGAGAGCCTCACGCAGAAGGGGCAGTCACCATCCCGTTGCCTCAAGGTACCAGCAGGGCAAACAGAGGGGTGCCCTCCCTCTGCAGTGCCCACTAGAGCCACCTGGTGGCCTGGGGCCTGACGTCTCAGCAGTCACAGCAGAAGGCAGGAAACAGAGGGCGTCCATGAAGTTAAGTGTGAGATGTCAGCTGTGTTCACATAGACCAAGAGACACAAATCACCTACTAAAATCCTACGCTAAGGATTTCAGTTCTATACTCAGTGGGTGACTGGAAGGAAAAGAAAGAGGGGACCCAGAGTAGGCTGGTGCTGATGGGACAATGAGATCAACCCACACTCTGCCCATTCCTGGTCCACTGGCTCAACCTCTGGCCCTGCCTCCTCCTCCAGCTGGTCTTGCTAGTACAGGGATCGGGGCAGGGAAGGGATAAAGAAGGAAAAATAGTCTCAAAGCACTCACACAACATAGTATGTTTGCTCAGTCTTGCTGAGATGACCCAACACTGGCACATATTCTATTTAGTGAATGGTCACATAAAATCACATCAAAGAACAGAAAGAATACACATGGACACGCAGAGAAAGAAGAGGTAGAACTGTCTCCTTCCTACTGAGAATAAGCCCATCACTGAAATAGCGATGACTTCTCTCTGACCTGAATAACCATGTACTTCAACAGTATTTGCAGGAAAAAACAGGTTTGGTCCTCAGCGATCTTCTCCCCTGATACGGCTGGCAGGAGTGGAGTGATTTCTTCTGGATATATCTTTGCTGCAGGTTGGAAAACAATGAGAGCTCTTTCACCAAAGTTAAATTTTAAACAGGGCCAAGGGTTTTAAAATGTGGTCTCCATTAAAATCAATCCAGCCAGCCACTGGCACTGCTCACAACCAGCTCCAAGCCAAGGTGCACAAAGCACTCATGAACACAGCACACACTGTCTGCAAAGCCATCTCTCCCCCTGGACCATGTTTTTTTCCTTTTTAAAACTCTTCTTTGGGGCAGACATTTAGTACAGTGGCTAAGATAGTGCTTGAGACACCTGGATCCCCTATCACAGTGCCTGGATTCAAGTCCTGGCTCCACTTCTGATTCTAGCCTCCTGCTAATGTGCACCCTGAGAGGCAGTGAGCGATGATGGCTCAAGTACTTGAGTGCCTGCCACACATGAGGAGACCAAGCCTGAGTTCCAGGCTCCTAGCTGCAGCCCAGCCAACCTCCAGCTCTTGTAGGTATTTGGGAAGTGAAGCAGTAGATATCTCTTTTTGTCTGTCTCTGTCTGCCCTGCCCCCCCCCCACCTTTCAAATAAAATGAAAATAGATTAAAAGTTAAACATATGGTTAAAGTATTACCCCACGTTCTTCCCTTAGTGACAAATAAGCATGGATGCTGCCAATACTGCATGAGGATTAAAATGAGACTAGATTAAAACAATAACAATAACAACTCTGGCTTGGCCAACCCAAGATCAAATGCCAGAGACTGGGCACTAAAGTGACACACAGTTATAAACCAATAGGATGACATCCTTAAAAATTCACAGGACAAAAATGGCTAACGCCAGTGGTTCCCTGAGGCCACTGCTGTCCTTCCATAAACACTGCATGAAAATTCACAGCTGGCAAAATACTACCTGGCTGAGCAGATGAATGCTCACTTATGAGATTACAGTGATGAGGACAATAGACAGTAGTTTTGAGTGGTGGATTTAAATCTCATTAACTGCAACACACATACTCCAGACATACCATATGTCTCTGCTTCCTGTCACTGCCAACAGCTGTCCTCTCTCTTCCATTTCTGCTCTCCTACCACTTTGACACATTTCTCTTGTCATCATTTCTACAAAGTAGGTTCCAAGTCTTTTGATTCTAATGTTTGTAAGGGCCTACTGTGACCATGCACAGGGAGTAGTAACTCCTCTTCAGACCTCAAGATTTCTAGTGAAGAAAATGAAAACACAAGGAATACCCCAAAGTAAGTTCAAGAGCAGGGTCAACTCTCAGGACCTGCCTCCAATGCTTACCATCAGCTGCGCTAGGGCCAGGACTGATGAGCGTCTCTAGTGTGCAGGGTCCCCTGGAAGACGGGACCGCTGGGAAACCAGGCACGAGGCAAGCAAACAGCAGCACCTGCTCTTCTGCACAGTTTGTCTGAAGGGCTTGCAGCCACAAAAGAAACAGCCTGATTCCTTCACATCTTATCTAAAAACAAAATTACAATCAGTGAAAAGGAAATGCTTACATGTATCTGGAGAAATGCATTGTGATGCAGCGTCAGTCTTGGGAAAGAAAAAGGAGAAGTGAAAGTATGGTTGAAGTATTACACTGAGTTCTTCCCTTAGTGACAAATTAGTACGACACCATGACACAGCACAAGCATTAAGAGCTTGGGTTCTGGAGCCAGCCTGGGTCCAAATGCAGGCTCTGTCGCTTTTCAGCTCTGACCCCAGAAGAACCAATCAACCCTCTGTAACACAGGGATAGCAACAGTTTTTAACTACAAAAGATTACTACAGGGATTGAGTAACCCACATAAAAGGACTGCCTGGCTCACGTTTAGCATTATGTATTTCCCACTAACAGCAGAAGTATTGCATTCCCTAAGGCCCACATCAGCAACACTCCACTATCCATGAAAACAATAGCAAAGATAATCTCCCTCCAGATTCATACTGTGCTCTGGATAGAATGTTTAACATGAACTGTACTATGCACATGGTTATGACGTTCTTGACAATCACAACTATTACAAGTAAATAAGATCCTGGGGACCTGGCTCAATGAGATAGAGCAGCTCTCTGGCTTCCTGCCTATGTCCCTCCTCCTCTCTCTCCAACACCTTCACCATGCTCTGAATGGCTGGCTTCACCTGGTAGGAAATACTGACAGAGGTAGACGTGTCCTATTTCCCTCTCCATACTTACTTCCAACTTCATTCTATTCCTAGAATCAAAAGCATGCATCCCTCCATTTTTGTTTCCCTAAATTGCTAAAAAGATGATGTCATTAGAAGTTAAATAAGCAAAGGAGAGGGTGCAGATTCCAGTCCCAGCTGCTCCACTTCTGAGCCAGCTCCCCGCTAGTGCACCTGGAAAAAAAGCAGAAGATGGCCCAAGTTCCTGGGCCCTCGAAACCACTTGGGAGGCTTGGAAGAAGCCTCCTGGCTCCTGGCTTCAGCCTGGCCCAGGCCTGGTCATTGCAGGCATTTGGGGAATGAACCAGCAGACAGAAGATCTCTCTCTGATCTGTCCTCTGCCTTTCAAATAAATAAATAAATCTTAAAAAAAAAAAGCAAAGGAGAATGAAAAATGCATTGAATGCAGCCAAAAGATGTACTGAGCTCCAAACGCAGTGACTTCCTGCTCTGCTTCCAACTGACCCAAATGAGCGCAGGCTCCTTTGCATCAAGGGTGCTATAAGCCACACACAGGGCTCTGCAGAGAAACCAAAAGGGCGAGAAGTGCAGAAACAACGTGTGTGTGTGTGGCTGCGTATGTGTGCACCTGTATGCTCGCAGGCCTGTGTGCATTCAACTGTGGAGACAGACACAGACTCCCAACAAACCCTACATGCACCAGTGCCACCTCATCAACCACATGGATTCTCAGCACACTTCCAGACACCTGGATTCCACCACTGCTCTGAACAAATCTCCATGACCACTCACACCTGCCCCCTGTCCACAAGCAGACAAAACAAGTGATATCAATGGATACAAAATATTATTCAGCAGCCAGGCAAAAAATGACATAGCTCTGTGTATAGCTAATCAAAGTATATTAAGAGGAGGAAAATTTCTATGAAATTCTATGTCTTTTTATGTTGACTATATTTAAGGCAACAAAATATAAATAAGACTAAGAATAAATAGGAGATAACAATCTGACAGAATTTAACTGTAAGATTAGTCGTTTAAAATAGGAGGGAGGAAATATGGAATCTATAGTCAGGCCAGGAATAGCTCACTCCTTTTCTCCCCAACATGGAGCAGTTGACATATCAAGTTGTAATTGGCTATGCTTCTTTAAAATGATATAAAACCAAAAATGCATTAGCTTGTTAAAGGGACTTGCATAACCTAATTGGCTACAAGTGAATTATCTTCCCTAAAATATTCACAAACCAACCTGGCTTCTTTCTACTGCTTATGATTTAGGATCATCATATCCCAGCATCAAATGGTATATGCTATTCATTTTAAAATAAGCTGGTTTTAACCTAAATTCCAAGATTGGCTGCAAATAGACTGTAATTCAAGAGTGAGGTCCTGCAATAGTTCTCACAATAGTTCTCAAAATTAGCAAAATTAATTCAGAGACAACTGTAATTTTACCTAGGTCCCTGAGGTGGACAGAATCAGGCATTTTAGTTCTGAAGACTGGAAAGGAACTGCTCTTCCTTTATCTCAAGATAAAACTGGAGCTGTTAGGGGCTTGCCCAGGGTCCTTGCTACACCCAACAGAATCAAGAACTCATAACTCCAAACGCTGAACTGCAAACTACTTTCTCTTAAGATATTTAAAATGTCTCTCACAACATGTTATTATGTAAGAACAAAAATGCTAACAATATTTATCATATAATTTCTTGGTCAAAAACAAAAACTAAGAATCAAGTAGGGATGGGCATTCAACCTAGCAGTTAGGATGCTGCTGAGAATGCCCGTGTTCCACACTGGGACACCTGGGGTCAATATCCAGGTCCAGCTTCTGGCTCCAGCTTCCTGCAAATGTGCGCCCTGGGAGGCAGCAGGGAACGGCTCAAGTACTTGGGTCCCTGCTACTCAGGTGGGAGACCTGGATGGAGTTCCCAGTTCCCAGCTTCAGCCAGCCCAGCCCCAGATGTTGCAGACATTTGTGAAGTAAACCAGCAGACCAAAGCGTTCTCATTTTCTCTCCCTCTCCCCTCATCTCTTCCCTCCCTGAGTTCTCAAAGAAATAAATTTTTAAAAATTTTTTTAAAAAAACCTAGGTCAACTGATTTTTAAAGACTGTATTTTTCAAAATGGCTTATCTAAAATAAATACCTTAATAGAATTTCCAGTGTGTAGAAGCTTCTTTAAAGTTGAGCCTGAAAGTTTAAAACAAGGATTAGAAATGGAGTATTTGAATGCACATTTAAGATCTATTTTTAATTTAGAAAGGAAAAAATAAATGCTTTTGGAAAAAAACGTTATTTTTAAAAAATTAAAGGAAGAGGGCCGGCGCCGCGGCTCACTAGGCTAATCCTCCGCCTAGCGGCGCCGGCACACTGGGTTCTAGTCCCGGTCGGGGCGCCGGATTCTGTCCCGGTTGCCCCTCTTCCAGGCCAGCTCTCTGCTGTGGCCAGGGAGTGCAGTGGAGGATGGCCCAGGTGTTTGGGCCCTGCACCCCATGGGAGACCAGGAAAAGCACCTGGCTCCTGGCTCCTGGCTCCTGGCTCCTGGCTCCTGCCATCGGATCAGCGCGGTGCGCAGGCCGCAGCGCGCCGGCCGCGGCGGCCATTGGAGGGTGAACCAACGGCAAAGGAAGACTTTTCTCTCTGTCTCTCTCTCTCACTGTCCACTCTGCCTGTCAAAAAAAAAAAAAAAAATTAAAGGAAGAAAGTTAACTTTCTGATGCAAAGTAATGTCACAGAGGGAAACTTTTTTTTTTTTTTTTGGACAGGCAGAGTGGACAGTGAGACAGAAAGGTCTTCCTTTGCCGTTTTTTAAGATAAAAAGCTTTAAGTATGTACTGCTTAAAAATTCTGCTAAGAGTTAAAATGATGGATATTAAGGTAACCCAAATGCCCACAGTGGATTACATGCAAATGTCTCTTGTCCTGCATAAAACAAATGATCTTTTAAACCTCTAAAGGTAAAAATAATATAAACTACGGCTCACAAAACATTTTTACGAGAACATGTCACAGATAGTCAGGATGGCGTGACTCTTCCCGGCAATGGCAACCACATTTATAGGGCTTGGCCCATTAGTAAAACCTCTAGAAGAGCACACTGGTCACTGTCAAGGAGACGGGACCAAGATTTACTCAGAACTGCACCTTGGGCGCTGTAGCCCGAGGGTGGAGGAAGATCCCGATACTCCACTGTTCAAGCCAACAGCACAGAGATGGCCTGGCAACCCCATTAAAATTTCATATGTAACCTCTAAACTGGGATCTTAATCTCAAAAAAGGAGATAGTTGGGGTGGGCTTTTGGCACAGTTGTTCAAATGCCCCCGGGACACCTACATTCCCATACTGAAGTGCATGGACCCAGCTCTGCTCCCCGTTCCAGCGTCCTGCTAACACAAACCCCGGAAGGGAGCAGGGTTGAGTCCCTGTCACCTATGTGGGAGACCCAGATTGACTTTCTGACTCCTGCCTTTGGCTTCACCCAGTCCCAGCTGTTACAGCTATCTGGACAGTGAACCAGCAAACATCAGCACACTCTCAGCATGTTTTCTATCTCTCTCTCTCTCTCTTCAAATAAAATAAAGTAAGAAATAAATACCCTTTTAAAATAGAAAAATCGTGGATGTCATAAGCAACAGAACTTTTTATCAAATTGCATATCTTAAAAAAAATTAGGGGGCTGGCATGGTGGTGTAGCAGGATAAGCTGCCACCTGTTGATGCCAGCATCCCATACAGACACTGGTTGGTGTCTTACCTGCTCTATTGCTGATCCAGCTCTCTCTGCTAATAGCCTGAGAAAAGCCGCAGAGGATGACCCGGGTGCTTGGGCCCCTGCCATCCATGTGGGAGACCCAGATGAAGCATCTGCCTCCTGGCTTCAGCCTGGCCCAGCCCTGCCCATTGCAGCCCTCTGGAGAGTGAACCAATGGATGGAAGATATCTCTGTCTCTCTGTCTTCTCCCTCTTGCTTTCTGTATATCTGCCTTTCAAATAACTGAATCTTTACAAAACACGTACACACACACACACACACACACCCCAAAGAGAACCAACACAGTGCTTTTTCCCTCTAAAATGTTTCAAGAGAGAGCTCGCATTGTTGGGTAGTGAGTAAGCCTCCACCTGCAACCTTTATACCTGCATCCTTATGGGATGCTGGTGTAAATCCTGACTGCTCTACTTTTTAAAAAAAAAGATTTATTTTTTTATTTGAAAGGCGAAGTTACACAGAGGCAGAGAGTGAAAGAAGGAGAGGGAGAGGGAGAGGGAGAGAGGGAGAGGGAGAGGGAGAGGGAGAGGGAGAGGGAGAGGGAGAGGGAGAGGGAGAGGGAGAGGGGGAGGGAGGGAGGGGGAGAGAGAGAGAGAGAGAGTGTCTTCCATCCATCTCCATAGCAGAGAGCTGGATTGGAACTGGAGCAGCCGGGACTCAAACCGCTGGTTGCTTTACTTCTGATCCAGTTCCCTGCTAATGCACCTGGGAAAGCAGTGGGGAATGGCTCAAGTTCTTGGACCCCTGCACCCACATGGGAGACCCAGAAGAAGCTCCTGGCTCCTGGCATCAGACCAGCCCAGCTCTGGCCATTGTGGCCAATTAGGGAGAGAACCAGCAGATGTAAGATTTTTCTCTTTCCTATAACTGTGCCTTTAAAATAAATAAATAAATCTTTTAAAAAAAGTTATAAGAGAAATAAAATGTCTCCTCTGCAAGCAAAGCAAAATAACATAAGAAATAGACTACAAGCACTGTGGTAGTTGATGTTTCAAATTATTTTCTTCCTTCTCAGGATAAAACGTGGCTACCCAGCAGGTCTGAGGGCTTTTGAGGGTTGTAGAATGTAGGAGTCCCTCTTATTTTAGATTCTGCTGCTTAGGGACACTGCCATTTATAGTTTGGGACAGGAGCATACCACATCAGTGGTGCATGGAACAAAACCTCAAGGTTCTAACTCAACCATACAGAACACCATGTCCCCTGGGAGCTGCCAATACTGTTTCATTAAGAACTCTGCAGGGGGCCAGTGCCTTGGCTCACTTGGTTAATCCTCCACCTTGCAGTGCCAGCATCAATGGGTGCCAGTTCTAGTTCTGGCTGCTCCTCTTCCAGTCCAGCTCTCTGCTGTGGCCCAGGAGGGCACTGGAGGATGGCCCAAGTGCTTGGGCCCCTGCAACCACATGGGAGACCAGGAGGAAGCACCTGGCTCCTGGCTTCGGATCGGCGCAGCACTGTCCATGGTGGCCATTTGGGGGGTGAATCAACGGAGGGAAGACATTTCTCTCTGTCTCTCTCTCACTGTCTATAACTCTACCTGTCAAATAAATAATTAAAAAAAAAAGGTCTGTAGCAGGGGCTGGCAATGTGGCATAGTGGGTAAAGCTGCTGCCTGGAGTGCTGGCATCCATATGGCCGCTGGTTCTAGTCCCAGCTGCTCCACTTCTGATCCAGCTCTCTGCTATGGCCCGGGAAAGCAGTAGAAGATGGCCCAAGTGCTTGGACCCCTGCACCCGCGCAGGAGACCCGGAAGAAGCTCCTGGCTCCTGGCTTTGGATCGGTGAAGCTCTGGCCATTGCAGCCAATTGGGGAATGAACCCATGGATGGAAGACCACCCGCCCCCCCCGCCTCCCCTTCTTTCTCTGTGTAACTTTCAAATAAATAAATAAATCTTTTTTTTTTTTAAAAAGAAGAAATCTGTAGCAGCATTCTTATTAGATACAAATCTAAGTAAACTAGAAAGAATGCAAGAAGCGTAGTGAGGTATATTAAACAAAAGCCTATAATTACAAATCCACAATCTCTCATTGGCAATTTCTAAATCCAAAATGCCACGAAAACAGAAGCTTTGCCATTAGCGGACAGTATATGTTCTGAATTCTTATGCTACCAACACCTGACTAAGGCGATTTCAGGTTCAGTTATTTCACTGATGGTAAATATTTAAGCCACAGAAATAACAGTTGGGGTGTCACACACAGACACCAGCAATGTGTTGTGAGGTTCTCAGCTGTTTGCTTTACTGTGCGTCCCTGCACCACGGTGTTGCTCTAAATTCTGAAGTCTGGTTTCAAAGGTGCACCTAGCACAAAGATCACTGTAAAAGAGATGTGGATTGGAATAAACACCATTTTCTAATCTGGCTATTTGTGCAAAAATATATTTATCTGAAAAGAGCTTCATTGATTCAAACATTAAGAATTTAAACATCAATAATGCATACGGATGATTTTAAATGCAAATGCTCATACTTTCGCGTTCTGAAATAAGATGCGGTCTGACTACTTCCTGGAGATAGCTGCGTCTATGCAACAGATAAACAGCAATTACTGTTAACGTGATGGCTCAAGAGACCTAATACTTTGCAATCTCAACCAAGGCGGCTGAGGCATCCAGTCACTATTCCCGCTAAGAGGCTACCAAACTGGGCAAAAAGCTGCTTGTATCAGCAATTTTCACCTGTTTTTGTCGTATTAGGCAGACTTAAAAGTTAATACCACACACTGCCTAGTGGATGCATGAAGTTACACAACACAAATGCAAATCAAGTTTCTCGCATAGTTCTAATAAGTTTATTCATGCTGAGGGGGCCTACTAATCTTCAGACATTCTAAAGAGCTATCTGAGGAAAATGAGTGTGGTTTTCATGCAAAAGATACAAGCAAAATTAAAGAAGGATTATATCTAGCACAGATAACGAATGCTGAGAGCAGTCATTTCCCACTGTCAGCCTTTTCTACTATGCCAGGGAGCGTCACAACTCCCCAGGAAGTCTCTGCAGCTTACACTTCGCATTAAAAAAAATTTACTTTAATTTAAACAATCTCAAAGCTCCAATTAGGCAGAATGCTATGGACAACTCTCCAAGACGTAAAGCAGGGGTGGGGAACGTCCAGCTCACGGGCTGTGTGAGGCCCATGAAATTGCTTGGTCTGGCCCTGCTAAAGCAGCTGCAACCAGGAATCGAAACCCAGTCCATCCCTGCCAGGCTAATTTTTAAGTTGACAATTTTGTGTGGCCCATGGTTGACATTATCAGTATCCAAACGGTCCCTGGCAGAAAGAGGGTTCCCTCAGTGATTTAAAGGAAAAACTTTCCTGTGTATTTCAAAGATTTAAATGTGAAGATACTATCTAAAAGTAATGATGCAGTCATTCAGTTTAATATACACACTTGCTACAGAAACTTTACTATCTTTAAACTTATTAGTATAACTTGAAATAACTCAGTTTCTGTAAGAGTCAGTTACTCCTCACATATATAAGCCTAAAGACCAGGCCATATTCTCTCAGGTTCCACGACTCTGCACACACTGACCTACCTGCTCAACTTCCAGAGCTCAACTCACAATTGCCTGTTTTGAAGGCTCTTCCAGTTCCGCTAAATAGAATCACTCAACTTCTCCCCCTTGCTCCCATCACACTTGTGTGCTGGCAACAATGACACTGCAATTACTCTTCTCTCCTGTCCCTCCACTGGGCAACAGGCCTAGTGACGGGATGCTCAGACAGTCTTCGTTTCTGTTCCCAAACTTTGCACACAAACATGTCTCCCACAATAAATGAGCAGAGCTGGATTCCGTAATAAGGTCATGCCCTCCTCCAACATGATCACCCAGTAAGGTAGAAAAACAGTAGGAAATGCCAGCCTTTTGTAAGACAGAAAGACTGAAGCAGACACTCTGTCCACCACCCTCCCCCTCAAACCTTTTATTTAATAAGTACAAATTTCATAGGTTCAACTTTAGGAATATAGTGATTCTTCCCACCATACCCACCTTCCCACCCACACTCCCACCCCACTTCTTCCTCCTTCTTCCATTCCCTGTTCTATTCTCCATTGAGACCCATTTTCAATTATCTTTACACACAGAAGACCAACTCTGTACTAAGTAAAGATTTCAACAATTTGCACACACACACACAAAGAACAAGTTTTATAGTTAATTCTCATAGTACAACTTATTAAGGACAGAGGTCCTGCATGGAGAGTTAGTGCACTGTGATTCCTGTTGTTAATTTAACAATTAACACTCTTATGTATGAAGTCAAGTGATCACCCCAGGCTCCTGACATGAGCTGCCAAGGCTGTGGAAGCCTTTTGTGACCACAGACTCTGTCAGTATTTGGACAAGGCCATAAGCAAAGTGGAAGTTCTCTCCTCCCTTCAGAGAAAAGCACATCCTTCTTTGATGGCCCCTTCTTTCCACTGGGGTCTCACTCACAGAGATCCCTCATGTAGGACATTTTTTTGAAGCAGACACTCTTTAAAACAGAAAGCAGAATTCACAACCAATATCGCAGTTAATCCAGCTGTGCTGGGCACATAGAGACAAGATACTGTTAAGTGTTTCGAGCTGGACAGAAAGGCAGCTGTGGTAATTTGCTTTATTTCAAGTTTCCTCTCACTGCCTTATCCTAAAGCTTTCAAACATAGTTCATTCTGAGTCAAAGACCTAGGCATAAAGAACTAGCTACTTTTGTGAGGAAAAATATACAGTTATTTCAGAAAATACTCTAGCTCAATGTTTCTCAAGATTCATGCACACAAGAATTCCCTCACAGCTCTTGTCAAAAATAAAGGTGCTGGGGCCAGCATTGTGGCATAACACCTTAAGCCATCAACTATGATGCCAGCATCCCATCTGGGCTCCAGTTCAAGTCCCCGCTGCTCCTCTTCTGATTCAGCCGCCTGCTAATGTGCCTGGTAAAGCAGCAGCAGATGGTACAAGTAAGCTCCTGGCTTCAGCCCAGCCCTAGCTGTTGCAGCCATCTGAGGAATTAACTAGCAGATGAAGTGCGCGCGCGCTCTCTCTCTCTCTCTCTCTCTCTCTCTCTCTCTCTGTCACTCCTCCTCTCTCTGAACTTTTTCAAATAAATAAATAAACCTTTGAAAAGTTAAACAGATCCATGACTGGATGGGTCTGGCTGGGGCCAGACAATCTGTCTGTTTAGCAAGGTCCCAGATGGGGCTGATGCTGCTGGTCTATGAGCCACACTTTAGCACTTTTACAACAAGCAACAGATACATTCTCTTCCAAAATCCAGGTTGTACTTTTCTTGGTTTTAATTATCATACCCTTAATAATCTTGTTATAAACTGTCCTGATGGTGCTAATTATATAAGGCATTACGGAAAATTCAATTGCAAAAAAGCTATATTACTAAAAAAATTGTTTTTATTTGGTCTTACCTATACTCTGGTAATGCCATCGGAAAAAGATTCGTTCAGGTAGAAACTGTAGTATTTTCTAGAAAGCAAATAAAAAATAACAGTAAGATATAAAGAAAACAGACAAGTGCTATTACATATTTTCATGATAGGCCATATTGCCTGCTATATGTAAGTTTCAGAAAAGAAAAAATTATTTGTAGCAACATAAACACTACAGCTTATACAGCATTATACAATACGGTTTATACAGCAGTTACACAGTCTTCCAGGGGATTGTTGTTGTTTTCTTTTAATTTGCCCAGGCAAATCCCACCCCTCCACCCCCGTATGTTTTAAAGAAATGACTGTCCCAAGTTTAATTCCCCCCAAAAGAAAACAAGAGAAAAAAACCTAAAATGATCATTTTATCTTAATCAAGTAACAAACATTACAGTTGTAAGTGCTTCTATCAGTAGATAAAGAACCACTTTGTAACAGACAGGAGTATTTAGCTAGTGAAAATAGCTCCCCTCACCCCACTCCCCAAAACCAAGGAGAATGACTTTTATTTTTCTCACTCTAGAACAAATTAATCTTGGTTAATAATATTACTTTACTTGATCTATAACCACCCTCTTAAAAATGCAGAAAATCCAGAACTCACCAAAATAATTTTCTTGGTATTAATAATACATTACTACTTTACAATGAAAATCCTCACTCTAGGTTTAGCCTGCCTAATATTCTTTTTTTTAGCCTAAAAGTCTAATATTTTAAAAAACTAAAATAGGGGTCAGCACTATGGCATGGGAGTAAAGCTGTCACCTGCAGTGCAGGTGTCCATAGGGGGAATGGTTCCAGTCCTGGCTGCTCCACTTCTGACCCAGCTCTCTGCTATGGCCTGGCAAAGTAGTAGAAGATGGCCCAAATCCTTGGGCCCCTGCACCCGTGTGGGAGACCCGGAAGAAGCTCCTGGCTTCGATCAGTCCAGCTTTGGCTGTAGCAGTCATTTAGGGAGTGAACTAGATGGAAGCGCGCTCTCTCTCTCTCTCTCTCACTTTCTCTCTCTCTCTCTCTCTCTGCCTCTCTGTAACTCTGCCTTTCAAATAAATAAAAAAATCTTTTTAAAAAACTAGAATAATTTTTTTATTGAGGGGCCAGCACTATGACACAGAGGAATAAGGCACCATTCATAATGCCGGCATACCATTCGAGAGTACCAGTTCAAGTCCTGATTGTGCCACTTTCAATCCAGCTCCCTGCTAATGCACCTTGGAAGGCATTGGACCCCTGCCACCCATGTGGGAGACTTTGGATAGAGTTCCTGCCTCCTGGCTTCACCCTGGCCCAGACTTGGTTATTGCAGCCATTTGGTGAGTGAACAGTAGATAAAAAATTTCTCTCTCCTTCCCTCCCTTCCAAACACATACATACATACATACATACATGAATCTATCTTTTTAAAAAATGTTCAGTATGCTATATTGGAGAGCCAGTTCAAGTCCCAACTCTGCTTCTGATCTATCTTCCTGATAACACACTGGCAAAGGCAGCACATGATGGCCCAAGTACTTGGGTCCCTGCCATCCATGTGGGAGACCAGAAGAGAGTTCCTGGCTCCTCACTTCAGCCTGGCTCAGTCTTAGCTGGTGTAGCCATCTGGGGAGTGAAACAGCAGATGGAAGATCTCTCTCGCTCTCTTGGTCTCTCCCTCTCTCACTCTGCCTTTCAAGTAAGCAAGTAAATAAATAAGTAAAGCTTTAACTGGTTTTATAGTCAGATCTCCAGGAAGCTGAAGAACTGCCTCCTTCCTCTGAACAGTTTGGACTTTTTTTGCTCTCTTCTAACACACGCATTATTATTACTTCATTTGTTCCCACTGGACAGCAAAGGAATGTGTGGAAACTCCTCCTGGGAAACACCACAACAGGCAGACTTCCATTAAATCCAAGTGACTTCAGGCGGTAGGGACTTTTCTCTCAGCCTGCCCTGCTCTTCCACCAACCACCCCACACAGGTGGCATCACCTTGCCATCCAAGTCTCACTTCAAATGCTACCTCCTCGCAGAAGCCTTTGTGAGCACTCTGTCTAAATGAGCCTGGCTCTTTTCCCACTCCCCTGTGCCTCTGCCCTGAGCTGGCCTGTCCTCAGCAGAGTCCTCCCTAGCTGCAAGGATCTTGCTATTACCAGCTTTGAGACCACGCACCCTCCACCAGAGTACAATAAGTCCCAGGAGACCAACACTTCTTGCTCCCTGAAGCATCTCCAGCACCTACAGGATCCCTGGCACACAGTGACTGCTCAGTGAATACTCAGTAAGTGAATTCTGAATGATTTTTATTTGTAAAATTTACAGGCAACCAACCATGATCTTTGCTATGGCCTTATGTTCACAGTAACATAAGATGTAGCCTGTCTTTCCTTAAATGTCATTGGATTGATAATGAGACAGAGATCAAGATTTCAATTGCTGGCTCAATCCCAAAAGCCTACATCAGCCAGGAGTGAACCACATCAAAGCCGGGAACGAGGAACTTAATCCAAGTCTCCCACATGAGTAGCAGGGACCCAAGAACCTGAACCATCATCTGCAGTTGGTACACATTAGCAGGAAGATGGAATCAGAAGTAGAGTGAGAACTGAAACCTGCACACTTCAATATAGGACACAGAAGTCCCAAATAACATTTTTACTACCTTGCCAAATGCCTGCCTCTACTTGCATTTTGAAATTAAAATTTTATTGATAAATAATAACTATTTATTTATGGGATGCAAAGGGATGTTTTGATGTATGAATAACTCCTGGAATAATTACGTCAAGTTAATTAACAAAACTGCCACTTCATATATTTAGCTTTTTAAATGAGAACTTTTAAAATATATTCCCTTAGTAATCATGAAATTTAAAATGCATTTTTATTATCTATGGAGACCACACTAATACAATAGATTTGGAAAACTTATTCCTTCTGCTTAACATCTTCCCCTTCCCCTTTCTCCCCTCCTCTCCAGTCTCTGGCAACCACCACTGCAGTCTCTACTCCTCTACGTTTTGACTTTTTCAGATTCCACATGTACTTGCGATGCAGCAGTATCTGTCCCTCTGTGCCTGGCTTATCTGAGCATAATGTCCTCCAGGTCCATCCGTGTTGCCGCAAATAACAGCACTTCCTTTTCTTTAAGGCTGAGCGGTATTCCACTGTGTAACTGTAATACATTTCATTTCTCTCTTCATCCATTGATGAGCACTAAGCTATTTTCCATATCTTGGCTACTGTGAACATTGCTGCCGTGAGCATTACAGTGGAGATATCTCTGCAACATACTGATTTTGATTCATTCCTGGATCTTGTGGTCATTCTACAAGCATTTTTAGTTTCTTGAGGAACCTCCATATTATTCTCTATGATGGCTGTACTAATTTACATTCCCACCAACAGTGCACATGGCTTCTCTTTTCTCTACACCCTAGCTAACAATTATTATCTTTCATCTTTCTGATAATAGCAATTCTAACAGGTGTGAGGTGATATCTCATTGTGATTTTAATTTGCATTTCCCTGGGGATTAGTAAGGTGTTGGCCATTTCTGCTTCTTTTGAGAAAAGTCTATTCAGGATATCTGTCATGTTACAAGCCCCTGCCTCTAAAGAGTATACCGTTTCCTGTGTTAGTATGTGATAATGCTGACATAAACAGATCCAACACACATCCCAAACTTCATTAGGTGAAAGGTACCTGCACTTAGGACAAGAAGAAGGCAGGCGGGGAGAGAATGCTGGAGGAAATAGCAGTAAGGGGAAGAGAGAGAAAGGAGAGAGCAAAGCCCCTGTCAGAAGTCTGCAGGAGGGACCAAGACATGAGAGCAGAGTGCCTCATCTCAGCAGGGGCTTCCTGGGATGCTTCCTTGAAAAGGAAGTGGAGAGGCAGGTAAGCCGGGGGCAATGTGCTTTTGGAAACAGAAAAGGAACGAAATGGCCTGGACCAAAGTCTACAGGGTAAAGAGGATAAACAAAGCGTAGTTAAGAGATGAAATAGTCAGGATGGGCAGGTAGAGCAGCTGTGGCACACGGAAGACTCAGTGACTCCAGTGGCTTAAGAGATGCCAGTGCTTTTACAGGAGACATCAAATCCACACACAATCTTTGACATGAGGAGAAGAGGAATACCAGCTCTGGTTCTGCACATCCTGGAACTTGAATTAGCAATGGATTATCTCAGTGGAGACGTACTTCCAGGCAACTGGGTATATGACTCTGGGGTGCAGGAGTGGGACTTGGGTGGTAACAGGAGACAGGCAGCAGCTGAAGCTGTGTGTCCACGAGAAGGCAAGACGCAGCCCTGGGGGTGTCAGTGCGTTGGGGAAGGGCTGCGAAGAAATTAAAAGCAGAGGCTGGAGAGCAAGGTGCATAGAACAGACGCGAAATCTTCAATGCTCTGTTTGTACCCTTATTTATTTTAAAGATCCGAAATGCTTAAGACCATTTAGATGCACAATTTTGTTAGAAAAAGTTAGAGATGCTAGAAAAATGTGGGGAAATGGATGTTAATTATTTATTTGAGAGGCAGAGTTAAAGAGAGAGAGAAGGAGGCAGAGAGAGAGAGACAAAGAGAGATTCCATACACTGATTCCCTTCTCAAATGCCCACAATGGGCAGAGCAGGGCTAGGCTGAAGTCAGAAGCCTGGAGCTCCATCTGGGTCTCCCACATGGGTGGGAGAGGCCCAAGTACTTGGGCCATCTTCCAGTGCTTTCCCAGGCACCTTAGCAGGGAGCTGGATTGGAAGTGGAGCAGTCAGGACTAGAACTGGCACCAATATAGGACACCAGCATCACAGCTTAACCGACTGTGCTACAACATTGGCCCCATTATTATCTCTTGCCTGGGAATCTAACAACCTTTGTCATGCAGACATCAAAGGTCAGGCATGATCTCACTAGTCAAAGTGATCAGTTTCAGTTCACAATTGAACATAATGATAGGACTAAGAGTCAAAGGGATCACATAAACAAGACTAGAATCTGCTAATACTAACTGATAGAATTAAAAAGGAGAGAACGATCCAACATGGGAAGTGGGATACACACCAGACTC